GTGAGTCTAAATCGAAAAACAGAGACAAAACCGATCGATAAATCTTCCTAAAAGAAAGAAAGAGAGAGACAAAGAGAGAGAGAGAGAAAAAAAAACGAACGAACAACAAATCCTTAAAAAAAAAAAAGTTATAAAAAATAAAAAAAATTAAGTGCTCACTCATACACCGTACAATTTAACGCAGCTGTCTCCATCTCAGTTGGTCCTCACAACTTAAATCTATGAGGATCAGGAGCCATGAACTCATCAGGTAAAAGAACCGAAAAACACAAAGCCTCATAAATGCTGTCTTATTTACACTGCAATAACGAAAAAAAGACATTTTCTGAAACACAAACGTTATATCATATGAGTATACTGTTGAAGATGTGAAAGAAAATTCATAGGCGATCAAGGCATTGTGGAAGACTAAGTACACTATAAATGTATGTATGTATATGTGTGTGTGTGTGTGTGTGTGTGTGTGTGTGTGTGTGTGTGTGTGTGTGTGTGTGTGTGTGTTTATGTACGTTTGTGTGTGCAGCTTAGATTATCAATATATTAATTATCATAACTGTTATCATTAATAGATAGGAAACACGTTAATAAATGAAATCACAGGTTTACGTTCAACTGTCTTGTAAACAAAGTCTATGTCAAGTAATAACTCATTAATACAAATAAATACTTCTATACCACTAAAAAGTGTGATTATCAGCGAACATCCAACACAAATGTTTAATTATCATAAATATATGTTTTTTAATGAAGCTAACGATATTAAGTGACAGTGTGTAACTATAGTTATTATGCTCTTAGAAAATATAAAACATCCTCATCAAAACCTTATTTTAGGGATCACCTTAATTTTTTTTGCCTCCTTCATGTCAGAAATCTACCTTCCAAATGCTTAAATTATAAAGAAAACTAGACGCAGACTAGTATCAATACAGGACAAGGCACTGCTGGCACTGCTGGCACTCCTCCCTGCCTCCATCACATTCTCAGGCGCCGCTTGACGTCCTTCAGCTTCCTCGGCGACCTCCTGAGGGCCACCTGCCGCGCCCCTTCTCCCGGAGCGGCCGTCGCGTCCTTGTCCTTCTTCGGCCTGCCTCTCCTTGGGGCTTTGGCGGTCGCGGAGGCCGAGGGGGTCGCCGCTCCCTTGGCCTCCGTTCCCGCGGCCGGAGACACGGAGGGCGTCGACCCGTTGGGCGCCGGACGGAGGCCACGTCTCGTGCTCTGGCGGAGGCCCGGGGTCGAGGCAGAAGGCGCGGAGGGAGTCCCCGTCGTCGAGAGGGGTCTGGACTCGCCGTTCTCCTCGCCTGAGGTTCCCGGGCTTCTCTTCTCGCCTCTCTCCTTCTTCGTCTCCTCCTCCTTCTCCTCCTCCTCTTCTCCCGCGCCTTCTTCTTTTTCCGTTCCTTCTCCCGACGGCCCCGAACCTTTTGACCCCTCGGAGGCTTCCTCAGAGGAGGCTTCTAACATCGGCTTTTTGTGCAAAACCTCCGAAGTTGGTCTCGAGGGCGGCCGCTTCCGAGGTCTCGCCGGGACCGAAGGGCGCTCTGGCGGAGGGGCTGACGGAGGGTTTCCAGAAGCTTCCATCTGCTCGTCTGCGTATACCTGGAAGGAAAAGGTTGGATCTAAGTAGACAGTGATGAAGGGTGACACACACGGATACATAGATAGGAAGAGGGAGAGGGAGAGTGGGAGGAAGAGGGAAAGAGGGAGGGAGAGGGAGAGGGGGAGGGAGAAAGAGAGGGGGAAGGAGGGGGAAGGAAGGAGAAAGAGAAGGGGAGGGAGAGAG